AGCGTTTCTCCTCAAATTTGATGAGTAGGTGATTAATAGAAATCCAGGTTTTGATCAAACTGAGAAATGATGTTTTAGCATTTGAACATTTTCAAAGTGTGTATGTTTCTAAATAGGAAACTAATGACACTAGTGAGTTACTTTTGGTATGACAATTCAATATCTTATGAAGCACAGAGTTATTGTCAACCTCATATTTTATGGTTGATTGATGAATTGAGCTTATCAAAAATCTTTTTGGAGTGGGTTTATGAAATCCTAAACTATTATGGTGGGTATTTCTGGAAGGTGTGGAAAATGTTTTTATTCGGTTTTTAGAAGACTAACTTGAGAAACAGTAAATAGAAACTAAAATTACATAAAATATTTTCTCTTTTATATTCCAGTCATGGAAGTGTTGGAAATTTATGAATTATTGTTGTAAATAATCAGCTGATTACTTGGATGAGCCAATTGTGATCAGTTTTATGGCTGACAAACTGATTACCAATTGTTAAATTATTTAATTTGTATATCCATAGTTTTTAAGATCTTAAAATATATATGGTCAGTGAAATCAACTTAAAGAAAGAAAAAAAAAAGACATCTTTCAATGCATGTGGTTTCACCACATTTTAAAAACATTGCATTGTTTAAATACTTGTTTTTCTATAATTTCAGAGGAGTTTGCACACAGGCTCCATGCTTCTGTATTATAATGGAGTACTGTCCATATGGGCAGCTTTATGATGCATTGAGGAATGGCCAAGAGGTTCCACCTACAACAGTGGTTGATTGGGGTAAGCAGATTGCTTCTGGAATGAATTACCTCCATTCGCACAGAATCATTCATCGAGATTTGAAGTCTCCAAAGTAAGTGATTACTTAGCTATAATTACATTTCATTTTGTGGTCAGTTTAAATTATATTTTACTATTATTATTATAACTTGAATGGAGTATTAAAATTAAGCTGCACTGAATAGTAAGTTATTTCTGCATATGTCAAAGCAGTTTAGAGATAGATATAGAAAGCTTTCTCAAACAATTGTATTTCGTTTTTTCAACATAATATTTCTAATGAGAAAGAAAAAGTGAGTTCAAAACTATAGAAACCTCAGAAAATTGGAGATGTTATTTATTTTTATTGTTTGTGATAACTATTGATGTGAGACCCAAAATGTACTGTTTTTTCAACAATAAGTTGTTTTATGTATATTGAAAAAAAACCAAACCCCGAAATAAGTGAGCAAATCCCTAACCCTTCTAGTACATATAACATATATTTGCAAGTCTGGATTCCTCTTAATTACTAAATTGATTTTCAAGTTTTTGCAGCACAAGTAAAAACATAAAAAAGAAAATTTAAAACTATTAAAAGCTAAGTAGCGTTTCTCCTCAAATTTGATGAGTAGGTGATTAATAGAAATCCAGGTTTTGATCAAACTGAGAAATGATGTTTTAGCAGTTGAACATTTTCAAAGTGTGTATGTTTCTAAATAGGAAACTAATGACACTAGTGAGTTACTTTTGGTATG